ACCCCTTTCATACTCAGTTTGATCAATAATCGATTCACAAATATTTAGCCAGTAATAATTTCACCAATCGAGAACAAAGTATCTCATATCACAAAGAATCAATTAACTATCATCATTTATATCAGTAAACATCACAATAATTCATTGTGACCCATTAAACATATCACATCATCTTTCGGCGGCAATAAATGCACTTCAAGTGCAGATTCTGATCCACAATATTTAAATTCAGAATCGTATCACATGCGTATCAATCTTTCTGTCAGACAGACTCTTTGTTTTTAGAGTCATATAGCATACGCATCATTTCTATAAATTATCAGTCAATCAATTCAATATTTCTGAACAAAGGTCCGAATTTACATATGGATTTGGCACTCTCAAATATCCGTAAATATTATTCTTTTGTTCCAGTAAATATCATAAAAAGAATTTATCGGTCTCGAATAGAAAGATTGAGGGTGCTAATGATTAATGATATTCCAAGCGATATTCGATGGTTGATTGAAGCAAAAGTTCGATTGTCGGGAGAGTTTACAAATTCATACAAATATATTCCAGGTATGGGTAAGAGTACTTTTGCAAAGAAACGAAGAGCAAAACGATTAGGTGGATGCTACAAATGTGCTCGATGGACTTGTGACACACGATGTAAATCTGTGGGGTTCGTGTCCAAAAATCGAGAAGATAAAATAGCATTTATAAAGTATGGATTGAGTAAGGAGTCTATGGATCAAACGATCCACCAGATTCTTGAGACACATCCTAGTGGGTATGTGCATCGTGAGCTTCTGTCTCTATGGATTCGTTTCAAAAATGAAGAGGAACGTTATAGTCTCGAAAATATTGTTTCAAAAGATCAAGTTTGTAAAACTAGTCTTTGTTAGTATGAAAATCATACTAATGAAGTTTAGTAGTTGCACTGTAATTTTCAGAGAATCTTATAGCTGTCGACAGATAAGATTTATTTAAAACCCAACACCTTATCTGTCAGTTGCAATTGTCAGAAGAAAACAGTAAAATTATTTATCGCTTTGTAAGACTTTCTATTTAAATAGCGAGTCATTCATCATAATCGTATGCCTTATAAACTTTTGAAAAATTAAGTTTATCAACAAATAGATGGATGTTTCAGAGCCTTCGCAAGGTAATAAATTTCTTCAGCCGATCAAAACCATATGTGTTCTTGGTGGTTCTAGATTGGTAAGTTTTTCTCAAAATGTTGATATTGTGAGTCAGTTAGTAAGGGATATGGGAAATCAAAAAATCACTTTACTGTATGGAGGGACTAGCATCACTTTCTTTGATAATCTTTTATTGGCCGGAAAATGTTTTGAGATAGAAGTGAAAAGTATCATACCTTTTCATAGAGCTTCAACAAGGGTCGTCAAGGATTCCATATGTATGATGCTAACTCATTCTATTCATGATTGTATGATGGATATGGCGAACAAGAGCGATGCATTTATCATTCTTCCAGGCGGTTATGGAATGCTAATGACAATGTTCATCCTTGCTTCTTGGGCAGAATTGAAACTTCATAACAAGCCCATAGGTCTATTGAATTTTAATAACTTTTTTTCTGGTTTGCTTGGATTTTTAGACCAAGGAGTATATCAAACCTTTATATCTCCTACAACAAGAGAAGTGTTCAAATTTGCAGATACGTCTGGTGAGCTTATCAAAAAGCTCCAAGAATGCATCATATTTCAAGATTATGTGGAAACACAAGGGGTCAAAAGAAAAAGAGCTTTTGATCCTTTAGATCTCTCATTATGAACCCATATAACAATAATGGGTGGCAGAGTTACTGAGTTTTATACTCTCGAGACGCACCCTTCTTTTATGGGTTCTATTCTGTAATATTTGCGTATTTCGTATTTATCGAGTATGTACTGCCTCTTCTCCATATTTCCATCATGTGAACTTTCTGTACTTGTTTCTTATTAATAATAATATCAATTTTGCTTTTCCACAAGATAAGTGTGTAGTACTTCATGACTACAATTATAAAACGCGAGCAATATAAAGAACACAATGTATAAAAACCGGAACGATTATAATATGCTTTCTTTCTTCAATTTTTCGTCATCTGATATATTCCCTTAGTCTTATATAATATATTGAGAAATCATTTTGTATGATCACTCATAACTGGTAACTTTTAGTACCACTTTCTTATTTTGTTCAATCATCCAATGGTATCTTCTGGTACCATTTCATCACTTTGTTAATCATAACGTGGTAGCTTCCAGTACCAATATACCAGATATCATTTAATCAGTATGTCGTAACTTCCGACATCACATTTATCATGTGGTAATTTCCGGTACCATCTTATCAATATATCGTTTCTCCAAAATATCATTCATTTCACTCATCGACTATCCCTTAATTTGTACTGCCCATCGCCGGCGGCAGAGCCGCACTGGCCGACCCATATATATATAGCCATTCATATCCGTTTATATGTACCATTTGTTGCATATGGCTTTACCACAGGGTCATTCCACATCATCGGCTATTATTCATTCATACAATGGCCGATTTATAGAGCCGTTCAATTTTATCTGTTGCTGGTGGCTGTAACACTTGGCCATTTCATATAGCTGTCATATTATTTTGATCAACAATTGACCCGTCGGCTACCATTAAATATTACTTGTCAGCGGCAGAGCCGCACTAACCGGTCCTTGTAGCCAAACATATTTATTTTCATATCACATGGGTCACTCAATAAATATTCACTGTTCATGTACCAAATATTTCAATCCATAAATATGCACATGTTCATGTATCAAATAATTTTCTCAGTAAAATTTAAGCATTTTAGAATACCAATATATATATATATATAATTTAATAAACTATATCAATAGTGGTCTTAAAATAGAGCTTTTATTAAATAGAGTAATACACATTTAATAAATAATTTATCAACTGCACAAGTAATTGGTGCCTTGGCCACAAAGATATCCACAGTTTTTGTCATTGCAAATAATTGAATGGAGTTTATAAATAATTTAATTCTACATCTGATTTTGCTATTTCAGTGATGTAAGTTACAACCAGAACATGTCCATTAATTAATGAGACTTGTTGGCATATCTCAGTTAACAATTCCATATTATTATTTGTAGTAATTGAATGGTTTATATATATATGTATATATTATCCTTTTCCCTTCTTGAAAATTGGGCCCAGATTTGTATATTATCACTAAGTTCACTGAATCACTATCCACTCACTGAATAAATTGGCATAAAAAACATCAATTCCATCAATCTCACATTCAAAAGAAGCCACCGAGCTTTCTTCTTACTCAATAAAATCCCCAACGCTTTTATCTCTTCAGAATTAAATTTCTGTGCGAGAACATAAAAAAAACTTTTCTCCAAGTATCAAATTTGCTTTGATGAAGCCAAACATGACCAATTTGGTGTTGGACACAATAAAACAGAGCTAGAAAGGAAAAGGGATCGCGTAATGGAGATTCACTCAAACAAGCAATTTGTCAAACACCTCGAGCACAGAGAACAGGAACACAAGATCACATCATGCAAAATCCGGACAAAAACATAAACCAAAATCAGAAAAGAAAGGTACCTGAGTACGTAGAAATTTGTATAAAATCAAGGACATGTACTTTCTACAGTCCAAAAGACCCAACGACTTTCTTTGTTTTTCTTGATATTAATTTTGGATCCGCAGAGGTCCGATTTGGTACAGCTATAAGCAGCAGCTCGATAATCTGATTTGAGTAAAGAACGAAATTGATACTGATTTCTGATACAGAGGATCGTCTATAAGACGCAACTGTAGAGCATACTCTCATTATATCGCAAATCGAGCTCTAGAGGGTAGAGACTCGTGCTGATAACGTGTTATAAAACTATAAAGAAAGAGAGAGAATAGAGAAAATGTTTTCTTAGGTACAATTTTCATTATAACTGAAGCTCCTATTTATAGGAAACTTCTGATGGCACAACCGTAATAATACAATTACATCGGGGGCAAAATAGTCATTCACATATATTATTTTATAACAAATAATTCATAACAGAGAACAAAAATATTGAATATTAGCATGCAAAATATAGATCAGTATATCATCTATATATGTATTGCCTCAACATTCTATAACAAACGATTGTAAGGGAAAGGAAGGGGAGGAATTTTAATGGAAGGGAGGTGAGGGGAGGGGAGGTGATGTAAAATAATTTTACCTTGTTTGGAGGGATTTTGTAGGAGGTGAGGGGAGGAAAAATAGTAAACCTTGTTTGGTTAGAAAAATGGAAGGGAAGAAAAATATTGTAAAAATGACATTTATATCCTTAATGATGTAAGAAACAAAAAAAAAATAAAAAAAATTCACATTAAGGTCAAAAGAGTAATTTATTGTTAAAATTTTTCCTTCTCCTCCAAATTCCTCCACTTTTGGAGGGGAGGGTATTTTCCCTTGGAGGAGGGATTTGAAGGAAAAATCCAAAACAAATTGAACCAAACAAGGAAAAAATAAAAAATTCCCTCCCCTTCCTTCCCCTCCCTTCCGTTTCCCCCGAACCAAACATAGGCTAACCAAAATATATAACAACCTTGTTCGTCAAACACCGTGGCACCAAAAACACAAATAACAACATAGTAACTTATAAAAACTTCTATTCAAACAAATCTAAGGTTTTACATGCAATGACGACAAAGATCAATCCACGTAAAAGATGTGCATGATCACACGCGCTAACTGATTCAGTTATTACAAACTGTCGAAAGCTTAAATGTACGTATAATTTCAGGCTAAAATTACCCTTTCTTTTCATCATTTGGTGCCCACAGTAGAACCCTGACATGTCAAGGTGGAATCTACGTTACACTTCTGTAAATCCAACAAATTGCACATATAAATGGATATCTTCGAACTCCTTTTGTTGCAGACTTCAGGTTCCATGAGCTCCCACATCAACACTTGCTAGAAAAGGAAGGAAGATTTTTAAGCGGCATTTTCAGGCACGTTCATCATTTGTATGATTTGGAACTTCATTTTGGCTGTCCAGAGGCATGTATTGCGCCATTATGGCTCGTATCTCTGAATCCATGTACGACTGCAAAATGCAAATAAAGAAAAAATTGATACATGTTAGATTTTCAAGCAATAAAAGTATGATGGCCTTTCTTGAAAAGTAATCAAACTATTAATGAAAAGAAAAAAGACAGAGAAATATATATATATATATATATATATATATATATATATATAAAGTTGAGTTTTTAATTGCAAAAGAAAAGGAAAAGATAGAAAGAAAGAAATATTGTCAAAAGCTAAATTTAAATGGGGAAAAAAAAAAGAAAAAAGACTATTTAAATGCCAATTAAGTATCTTTCGGTAACAAAGACAAACAAGATGTAATATGATTAGAGCAGCAGTTAGTTTCAATATTGAAGAGCTTAATGTTGTAGAGAACATACCCTCAGCCGATATCTGTACACAAGATACGCCCCACCTGCAGCCACGGCTAGTCCAATAAATATGACCCAAACGGCTGTCCATGCGGACTTGACCTCGCTAGCCCTCTTACCTGCTTCACCACAAATACAGACAAGGAACAGATGGAGGATTACAAGTGCCCTTAAATGGGCTAAAAAAAACACGAAAAAATAAATGAAAGTGAACTAACTGATGCAGGTGTCATGATCTTTAATGTACAAAAGGTCTCCACTACACGTGCATTCATAACTGCCCCATGTATTCTTGCAGCTGCACTCGGGGCATTGGCAGGCTCTCTTCTCACTACATTCATCGATATCTGTAAATTTCAACAAATACAGGGGTAAAGATGGAAAACTACAAAAGAGTAGAGAAATTATCGTGTGAGCCTTTAACTCCTGACGATATGATTTATCTAATCATATTTTTCTCAAATATCTCATGCATCCTTTTGTCTTTTTCTTCTTCTTTATTATTATTATTATTATTATTATTATTATTATTATTATTATTATTATTATACCACACGGATATATTTGCATAAATTGTAATACAAATATGGTATTTTTACGAGAAAAATTATCTTATTTCTTACCCTCACAACTTTTGACGCCATCTCCTTTAAATCCAGGAGGACATTTGCATTTTCCCACTTCATCATCCTATTAATGAGATTTTGGAAGATTGCAAATCAGATTCCATATTTATATTCAGAAAATATCAAGATAACTGTAAAACAAATATTAACCGACCACACAGGCGGTGTAAGTGACTCCATTTTTGTTCTCGTGCCAACAGCCTCCGTTACTGATTTGGCATCTCCCGGGTCCACTTGCTGCAGATGGAGGGTTTTATTTAAAAATTTTCCAAAGAAAAAAGAAAGAAAGAAAAAAGAACAAAAGAAAGTAAACTGAATCATATTAACTTTACATACCAACACAGGAAGTATATCCATCTCCCTTAAACTGCACACCATTGACTACAGGGCACTCACACACTCTTCCTCTAAATGTGTCCTGATTGTGCATGCACATATGTTAAAAATTATGAAGACATATAAAAAGAACAGGAAAAAATAAACGAATTAAAGTAAAACTATAGTGAATACCTTGCATGCTGTAATATTTGCAACCTTGTCATGCCAGCAGCCACCATTATTATCCAAGCACTCATTTGTCTCCACGTCTGCAGTAAAAAATAAAAATAAGAATTCATGTAAAAGCATAACAAATTACAGTCACATGTTGATTATAAATACGATTTATATATATCATACCATCACTTAAACAAACAGATGGTTCCGTAGTTTCCTCAAAACCAGCACATAAGGCTTTTAAAACTGCACCTTTATCCAATTTCCCTGTACAACACGCACATTACAGATACCATTAGTTTAGATATAAATATATGGAAATTACATTAGGGAAAATTCGAACCTCGATACTGTCGATTATTGACAACCAGGGTAGGCAATATGGTTACATCACCACGCGATCCTTTACCAACCTACAAGAAGCGCCTAATTCTGAGACATTTAAAATAATCACCATCTAACAAAATGCTTATACATATTTGTTGTAGCACTCACTTGAGCATCCTGTTCTTCTTTCAGCACAGGGTTCTCTGAATCAGCTTCAGGATCACCCATGCAGTTTTCGATTTTTTTTAGATCAAGATCTGCCATGCAAGCATCATTAGTATATGATTAGGGATTAAGCGCAATTACTACCTTTGAGGTTCAATCTTAAATTAATAAAAGAGTTATGTTTCAAAATTACATTAAAACCATTTAACAAATATTTGCTAAATTGCACCTTTTGAGGGTGATAATTCGTTTAAGCGAGTACAAACTTAAAAGGGATATTTGTAGTTCTAGAAGATCAGTAGACCTCTCAAGGAATTTTGTAGGGGTTGGCTGCTAATGGATATGGTCATTTTATCCATTCTTGTTGGAAAATGAAATAGGAGAAGTGGAGGAAACTAAAAATTATAAACAATTCTGACCTGTAAAATGACAGTCAACATCCTCCTCGCATATTTGAATCAGTTTACATGTCTAATATTCCCAACAAATTGAAAGGAAAAAAAAGGACAAAAATGGACAATGTCTAAAAAGACACATTTTTTAAAACAAATCTTATTTTCGTTTATGTGAAATAGCCAAAATTCACCTAGACTAATAATACTCACATAATAATAGCCAAAAGAGAGAGAGAGAGAGAGAGAGAGAGAGAGAGAGAGAGAGAGAGAGACAGAGAGAGAGAGACAGAGAACATTTACCTAAAGATTTGATGACACTCTCTGCACACTCCTTGTTGTACTTCTTCTCCTTCATGGGGCACCTGATCTGGAAATCGGTCACGTAATCCCACCACACCCACGGCCTCCCCGTATCGTTTGCTGCCCTAAACACACACAGCTGCCTCAGATTCTCCATCACCACATCCTTCCCATCATAGCCCGAGCTGAAGTCCTGCTCAGGGTCCGGCGCACAGTACCTCCCATGGTTTATACACTGAGACTTGCATTGCCTGCTCACCGTAAAAGCCTGAGGACAAAACCAGGTAATATAATGCGGCGTAAACTGTGTGTACCCTCCCTTCTCAAGAATCTGGGCTGGGCCTTTGAACTCCTTCACGAACTCCATTAGCATGTTGCACTTGAGCCCACACTCGTCATTGCTGTTGGTCCAGAGCTCGTACTCAACGCGATCGTCTGGGTGGGGCACGGCCTCACGCCAGTCGAGACTTACACTCACCAGGTCCCCACCGTTGACGGCCGTTTTCAATTGGGTGCCAAAGGTCTTGTCGATTAGTGCGGATGGGATTGTTATGTTGGTGATATAGGTGGCGGACGAGCTGCCTTCCTCTGGGGAGTCCATTGTGATTAGGGGCTCATCCATGTTGTCCGCCACCAGGACAGCCGCAGCCCCTGCATTCTGGGCATTCCACACTTTGAGCGCGAAAAAACAATCTGCGGAGCTTTCAGTAAAAAGGGTTAACTAGAGAAAATAAAAAAGAGTTGGTTAATAACTTAAGGTGTTGGGACTTTTCATTCATGTCCTACGACTAATTAGGCGATTTATTCATTACCCACTCGCTATTCATTACAAACTAAATATGGAGATAGGTCTGTCTTCCGAAATTAGAGACAACTCCCTCGTTGTATGCTTCTCTTGCACGTATTTTGCTTGTTCTCAAGAAGGGGTAGTGACCGGGTAAAATTCAAACATCACGAGGGTAATATTTGTTTCCAAAAAGACAATTGAGTTCTTTGTAGTTGGATTAGGAGTAGTTAAGGAATCTAGCGGGTAGCCAATAGCGGAGTTTGAATTAGTGTTCACTCAATTTTTTGGAGTGTTCGATTAGATAATACGAAGCTCAAAGGGGATTTCGTGATTTTGAAAGAAAAGGAAACAATTGAGGTAGATTTTATCTTATCTGAATACAGAAATATAACATGATTTCTAAAACTGGCTAAAAATGCTATTTCTAGAAGAAACCATAACCAAATTTCACTCTAAAAGGGATAAACTGTTAATTCATTGTCCTCGGCAAAATACTTCCTTAACTTTACTTGAAATATCTCTTCTGCATTTAGGTCGAATTTCCAAATATACATAGGTGAAAACAAGGAGGCTTCCAAGCTCGTGTACAATAAAAACTTTAACAAAGTATGACCTTAAGATGAACTAGCTAGCTTTACCTGTGTCAACTAAACAGAAAGTTCAGAAATTTAAGGTCTTCCTCCAACAAAATACTAAAAACAGAAAATAACAAAGGCATCCTGGGAAAGTAAAACGTTCCACCCTATATAACCAAAGACTGCCAACTCAAAATAACAATATCGAGATCAATAGTTTCTCAACTCACATGATAAATAAGTCATCATAAATAGGCCAAAAGCACCCCCCCAAGAATCAATGAGAACCAGTTCGAGTCAAATCGAAATAACAGTGCCGACTTTGGACCCCAAAATTAACAAATTACCTAAAATTAACAAAAGAATCTCAGCCAAGAACTATCAAAATATAAGAACATAAGAAACAGACGACAAAGCACTCCTTCAGGGGCACCTAAAACCATAATCAAATATCTCAGACACTGAATGAAGTTAAAAGATAACAAAACGTGTACCTCCACGATCAACAAGAACAAAGTTCGGCATAGCCCCAGGCTTAGCCTTAAAAGAAACCCCAAAATCATCAAATTTTTGGCATCCTTTACTGTTGTCCTTTGGGTAAACTACAGTCCCGGCCATGCTTCCCCCATATTGTGGGACCCCAAAGTTCCCAATCGCACTGTCGTGGGTACCCTTCAAGCTCTCCGGTGACGTCACCCTCAAACTGTTCTTCTCCACCACAAATCTCCCCGCTACAAATTCCGCCAAAATCAGCAGCGAAAAAACCAGCAAGATCGCAACTTTAAAACTCTCGGAGAAGCCCATCTGCTTGGATTTCCAGATGGAGCAGAAAAAAATCCGAGATTAGCGAATTTTATACGCAGCTTGTGGGTCTTTTTCTTCCTTCTTTGTTACGGTTTATTTTCTCGAGCAGGGACCTTTACACACACACACACAGTGCCGCCGTGTTGAGTATGCGAGTTAAGTCAACCATCATCAATGGGGATAATTTCATCTTTCGACTTTTATTTGATTTTATTATTATAATTTTTTTTATTTTTCCTTGAGAACTGAGGCCAAAGTATTTGAAAAATGTAAACGTCAGCTCTGGATGTGACTATTAAGGAAATTGAGAAAATAAATAATAAACGTTAATTTTTTTGTTAATTAATAGAAAAAGATGGTTAATTTAATTATTAGTGAGTTAATGGGGATAACCTAACATAAGCAGGCTACCTACCATAAGCCAACAAACTTCAATTGGGTTAAGAAAATAGATAAAAATTGCAGAGAAAGAAAGACCTGTACAACATGATTCACGGTCGTCAGTTTAGACCACTCTTTTCTATGCACATCTTTTTGTTGGAAAAAAAAAAATTATATGGACTTTGATATGGTCCAAGATACGAACTTCGGTCTTTCGAAGGATTCTTCCCGGTTATGACGTTGGTTCACCTGGTTCGATTTGGCCCAAGCTTGAATGTTCGCCGGTACCTGAAAGGGCGCCGGAATTACTCCGGCGCAAGACTCTCCGACGCCCAAGTTAGTATCCCGGATTTAGAGAGAAATTGTGTAATAAATGTAACAGTAATATTATTGAAGTCTTACCTCCCAACTATGGAATTTACCTTTTATATAGTGATTAGCTGGGCGACTTTCCTTTCGGGACCGTTCGTCCCTCAATGCCCGTTGACTAAGTAATATTCGCCCGATAACTCAAGGGTCGAAGCTTGACTCCTCGGGCCGATCGGTTCTCGGCCGAGCACCCTGTCTCGAGTCGATGCTAGGCCCGAGTTCGACCCTGGTCGGTGCTTAGGGTTAATGGTCAAGGGTCGAGGGTCAAAGGTTTAGGGTTAAGGGTCGAGGGCTTAAAGGGTTGGGGGCCGATGGTCAAAGGCTTGGGGCTAAGGGTCGAGGGTCTAGGGGTCGAGGGTGTAAGGGCTTAAGGGTCGAGGATCTAAGGGTCTAAGGGTCGAGGGCTTAAAGGGTTGGGAGTCGTAGGTCAAAGGCTTGGGGTTAACGGTCGAGGGTCTAAGGGCTTAAGGGTCGAGGGTCTAAAGGTCTAAGGGTCTAAGGGTCGAGGGTCGAACCGGTCGACCCTTGGGTCTTCTAGGTTTGTACCTTAGATTTTATTCTACCCCGACTTCCTTGGTTTCAACGCGTTAGGCCGAATCGGTACTAATATCCATATCAACTACTCCTCCTATTTACGAGCATACGAAACAAAGTTCGTATACTTGTGAATATCAAAGTTCAGAGATTTCCGGGTGCGTTTTGGTTTGTACGTCGTGAGACCCGATTTCCTTCGGTTGACTAGAGGACCCCGATTTGCCTTAACATTTGAATGCTTCTTGACCCATTCTCTTTCTCCTTTCCCAAGATTATGCCCTTTATCATTGGTTTCACCTACTAACAAATCATGTGGTTCTCCTTCACCCAACACTTTCCTCTCCTAAGTTCTTTCTTTCTCTCCCTTTAAATATCCTCTCATCTTTCCCCTTCTAAAATTTTCCTCTTTTCTTCTTCTTCTTAACTTCTTCTCCTCCTTCATAAGAACCCACCTTCCTCTACCCCAAATAGGTTCTTCTTCCCTTCTTCTTCTCACCTTCTATTGCACCCGACGACTAAGCACAACCCTTAGCTCGATTTCTCGATCGGTTCCCTTCCTCCGGCCATCCTCTCGCACGGCGGCGGCGGCATGGCCCAAATCGCGGTTCGTCTTTTCGGTTAACTCCTCTTCCGACCACCTCTTCTCTCCAAGCTCGAGCTATTATTGCCATGGGTATTCACTCTTGAGCCTTTCTCTTTTTATTATCTTGCTTGTTGGTGTTGTGCTCTTTTCTTTTGTGGCATGCATATTCACTCACCGTGGCCTTTTGGTTCTTAGGCTAGATAGCTCGGTTTCTGAGTTATAGCCGAGTTTTCTTGTCCAATAGTTCTTATTTAGTTTCCCTTCCGTGCCCTTATGTAGATATACCTTTCGATCCTTCCTTCGACACTCATGCTCCTCATTTACTCGATGAGGCCGAAGGAGTGTTTACTTGGGACGAGCTTCAACAGTTTGGAAACTCGCGCCCAAACGACCCTTTTGACCTTGATGATATTCCTTCCATTTTCGACGTGCCCGATTCAATTTCGGGTCATGGCGCGTCTTTGGTTTGTCCGGATAGGGGTGGCCCTTCTTTGGTCAAGTTGGGTGGTCCTGGTTCTCCTTCGGCCAGTTCAAGTAGTCATAGTCCTCATTCGGCTAACGTGGCTAGATCCGGAGCTCGTTCAGCCTCTTCGAGTGGGTCCAATTCTCCTCCGTTAGTTGACCGCCCCACTAGGCCTAGCCTTTTTACTCATATGTCGGCCGATGATATTGATAGGTTTAAGGCTACTTGTGAGTTGCCCTTAGGTTGGGAGTTCGTGAAACCGAAGCTTGCCGACATGTATGACCACCCACCTACCGGTTGCTATACCTTTTTCAAAGTGTTGGTCTCCGATTTTCCGGTATTGATGCTCTCTTGCGCTTATGTGGGGTTTTCAATTTTCCGTTAAACCAACTTCCCCCGAATGCTATCCGGACCATGATTGCTTTTGCTATTTATGTCGCCACCAGTTGGGGCAATTAGAGTCTGATTTTTACTTCTATTGCTACGGATTAAGGTTTCAAAAATAGGGTAGTACGGGATGCCACTACACTAGCTCTCGCAACGTGGCCGAGTTCATTTTGGAGCTCCCCTCAAACATTCCTTCATGAAAGAAAAGATTCTTCTTCATTCGGCCCCCACCCGATACTTTCGGCTTTCTTCCAGAGTGGCTACATAAGAAATTCTCTCCACGGTGTAAACCGAAGAAGCACCCCCGTTGGAGACAATTGATCCGGGATTGGAACGAAGAACCTATAGACATATCACTCCTCACTTCTCCGATTACCCTTTGCCATTATGCCGGTTTGACGACCGAGAGTCCCGATCCTTCCAAGACCGTAGGTACGAATGGCCAATGCCCCACTACTTGTACTTATATCATTGTGTTGTTTTTTACATGCAAATGATTCTTCGACGCTTGTATTTGGTGTGTGAGGGTTGCTTTAGGTGTGTGCGGGTCGAGTTAATCGACCCATGGGGGCCCTTGTCGGGGTTCCCCATGTACTCTTGCATGGTGATGTCATGTGGGTCAAGCAGGTCGAGGGGATCGAGTGGGTCTTGTGGGTGTGTGGGTCGATCACGATGTCGTGGGGGTCGACCGAATCGACCCTACCCACGGGGTCGTGTGGGTCGACCGTGTCGACCCCCACATTTGGTCGTGTGGGTCGACCGAGTGGACCCTACACGCGGGGTCGTGTGGGTCAACCGTGTCGGTCCCAGACACGAAGGTCTTGTGGGCCGACCGTGTTGACCCTATATGCGGGGTTATGTGCGTTGATTATTGTTGGTCCTCTGCTTTCAATTATTGCTTTGTACTTGAGATATAGTTGTATTGACCATTTGCACTTGTTGTTTTCATATAACATCATTAGACAAGCGACTTTGCAAAAGAAAGCTAACAAGTCGAGGAAGACGCGCGATGAAGGGCCCTCGACTCAGGCCAGACCGAATCACCCCTCTGTGCGCACTCGGAGTCAGAGCCAGTCGACCGCACTCCGTTCGACCCATTCCACTACTGACGTCCCCCCACGAGATGACACACACGCCTCCTCTGGCCGCATCACGTCTACCCCCGATCGCTCAGGCTGACAGACGATTGGTCCTGATGTCTCTCTTCTTGCTGGCCGATCCTCCAGACTCACCCGACGCCCACTCACGACGAGGTGGGCTCTCGCAAGCGGTCTCGAGCTTCCGATCTTAGCAATGGGGTGGTTGCTCCTGTTGACTTCGGGAAGGATGCCGATCCCACTCATCTTGCTAGATATCTACACTCAGTCATGCCCCGTTCAGAAAATTAGTGCTTCGAGGGTAAACCACAAGATCGGTCTCGCGTAGTTGCTCATCGACTCTGTCATGTATAACCTTGCTTTTCGATTTTCGTTATCTTAGGCAGGTGTTCAGCGCTTTCTGATTTAATTGATGATGATTTCGCCCCCTCCCTCTCTTTTTTGAAGTTCCTTGGCGCTGCGAGCTCTTTACTTTTTGACGAGGTAAATGGGACAACTGAGGTTGATCGCATGGAGGCCAATCAGCTCAAGCGGGATCTTGAGAGGGCGCACTCTACCATAGGGACGTTGAAGGGCCAGCTAGTTGAGGCCTGTCAGGGCAAAGAGGATGCAGGTAAGGCTGCGTCCGACCGCGAGCAGGCTCACCAAGCGCAGAATGAGGAGCTCCAGAAGGAGCTTACCGCGACGAAGAGACAGATGGAGGAGGCCGAAGCCCGTCATTGTGCTTCCACAGAGTCCTTTCGCCAGGAAGGATTTAGGGGTTTTCTGGGCTCCAAGGAGGGTCGAGGCTTCCTGATCATTTATCGGGATGAGATCATCTGTCTATCGGGATGAGATCTCCTTCGCCTCCTCCTCTTACCCCGACTCCTTCTGAGGTGGTCGAGGCGGAGGGCGACTTAGAGGATGATGTCGGTTCTGCCAATCCTGTACAGTCCCAGGTGCCTCTGGAGTCCTCTACTTTGCCTGACCCGACTGCGGCCCGAGATGCTTATTCCCCCCACTGCTACCCCCGCGACTGGGCCTAGTGCGAACCCGAACGCCGGCGCTGCTGAGCCACCCCTCGATGCGTAGTTTAGCATGGTTTTGCCTTTTGATTTTGGTCATTGTTTAGTAAAGATTTGATGGGTAAGGGATAACCGAGTTACCCGACTCGGGTCGATCTCGAAGAAAGGTTATTCGGAACTTC